GCATCTGGGGAGTGGAGCTGCAGATGAGAGAGCCCTCTCTCAAACAAATTTTAAAAATACGGTTTAGGCAAAATCTCCCTTGCAGGTCATATTTAGTTATAGGCTGTTGAGTTTTTCCTGTAACAGGGTCAGACAGTAAATCTTCTAGGCCTGTAGGCCACATACAGTCTTGGCTGCACAACCATTTTACATTTTTTCAAGAAATGTAAAGACAGTATAAACACGAGGCCTTGGATTTGATCCTCAGGGTGGTAGTTTATCAATCTTGGCTAACAGGAACCATTAACCTTGAGATGCAAGTGTAAGTACTTTGGAAGCATTCCGCCACGGTCTGATCTCTCACAAATAACTTTTTAAAAATAAATCAAGCTGGGGCAAGTATTCTGTACATAAATGTACAGCAGTGGCTTGCTACATTTGTAAGGCAGAACATTTTCCTCCCAGCATATAAACAAGCCCAGGAAGTATATCCTGAAAGGGAGTTTCTGCACAGTTCTGAGCCACTGTCCCACCATCTGTCACATTTTAACTACTCACACAAATAACAAATTAGGTGGAAAACACGTCTAGGTATTTTACTCCACTTACGCTCTCGAAAAACAGTGCAGTCAGATTTACAATTTATAGACATTGCCATTCAAGAACCAATAGGGTTGGGGTAAGCACTTGGCCTAGTTTTTTTTTTTTTTTTTTTAAATATTTGATTCGTTTGAAAGGCAGAGTTACAGAGAGAGGTAGAGAGAGAGAGAGGCTTTCCATCTGCTGGTTCACTCCCCAGATGGCCACAACGGCTGGAGCTGCGCCGATCCGAAGCCAGGAGCCAGAAACCAGGGGCCAGGAGCTTCCTCTGGGTCTCCTACATGGGTACAGGGGCCCAGGGGCCATCTTCTACTGCTTTCCTAGGCCATAGCAGAGAGCTGGATTGGAAGAGAAGCTGGGACTAGAACCAGCGCCCATATGGGATGCTGGTGCCTCAGGCCAGGGCTTTAACCCGCTGTGCCACAGCGCCAGCCCCTTGGCCTAGTTTTTAAGAGTGCTTCGAATGCACATGCCCCATGTCAGTGTGTCTGGATTCGACTCCTTGCTCCAGATACCAATGCCAGCTTCCTGCTAACCTTGGGAGGCAATGGCTCAAATACTTTGGTGCCTGTCACCCACATGGGCGATGTGGGTTGAGATCCCAGTTCCGGGCTTTAACCTGGTCCAGTCCTGGCTGTTTTGGGGCATTTGGGAAGTGAATCACAGGATAGGAACTGTCTTGAAGATCATAAACATTAAAAAAAAAAGGGGGGGGCAGGTTTTTGGCACAGAGGTTAACTGTCTCTTGGGACACCCACATTGGAGCGCCTGGGTTTTAGATGGCAGGTTATCCTGCTGTGCCACGCCGGCTAGTCACTAAGCACAGACCAGCACATGACCCATCTCATTCTGGTGCCAGCCCCTCAGAGGCAGCAGGGAATGGCTCAAGAACTTGGGTCCCTGCCAACCACTTGGGAGACCTGGACTGGGATCTGGGCACCTGGCTTCGGTCTGGCCCAGCCTCAATTGTTGTGGGCATTTAGGGAAGGAATCAGTGGATGCAAGATCTGTTTCTGTCTCTCTGCCTTTCAAACGAGCTTCAAAAATTTCTTGAGAAGAATTATTAGGGTGGGTCTTGATTCTTGGCTGCCAGTTAATGCTTACTTCCTTTTCTAATCCTTGAAAGGAAGTCATGTTTGATGAAGTTAAGGATAATAGCATCTATTTCTGAGGCAGGCCAAGAACTTTATAATCCCATTAGAGTAATGATGTGGCAAACATCAGAGGAAAAGTCATACTCAGTTCATCTTCCTGAGTGCTTTGGGCCCGGCCCAACTGCAGAAGGAGCAGTGCAGAGATTTGATCTGGCCCTAGACAGCCGTGAGACTTCCCAGAATACTGTAAACTTGTTCTCAGAATCCCTTCAAAACGGGACAGATGGGCAGAATTTTGTTAGATTTAAAAAGCAACTACATGTGAAGGAGGTTGGGATGGATGCTAGCCCTCAAGTATCTTTTTTTAAAGATTTGAAAGAATTACGGGGGCGGGGGGGAGAGGGAGGGAGGGAGAGAGGAATTAACTTTTTTTTTTTAAAAGATTTATTTTTTTGAAAGTCAGAGTTACACATAGAGGAGAGTCAGAGAGAAAGAGAGAAAGAGAGAGAGAGAGAGGGAGAGAGAGATCTTCCACCCGATGGTTCACTGCCCAGACGGCCGCACAGCCTGAGCTGTGCTGAGCTGAAGCCAGGAGCCAGGAACTTCTTCCAGGTCTCCCACGCAGGTGCAGGGGCCCAAGGACTTGGGCCATCTTCTACTGCTTTCCCAGGACACAACAGAGAGCCGGATCGGAAGTGGAGCAGCCGGGAACAGAACCAGCACCCATATGGGATGCCGGCACTTCAGGCCAGGGCATTAACCTGCTGCAACACAGTGCCAGCTCCGAGAATTAACTTTTTAAGATTTATTTTGTTGAGAGAGCTTTTATTTTATTTGCTGGTTCACTCCTCAGATGGCTGTGACTGGGCCAGGCCAAAGCCAGGAGCTTCCTCGGGGTCTCCCACATGGATGACAGGGGACTAAGCACTTGGGCCATGTGCTTTTCCATATGCACTAGTGGGGAGCTGGACTGGAAGTAGAGCAGCCAGGAACTGAACTGGTGCCCATATGGGATTAACAGCATTGCAAGTGGTGGCTTTATCTGTTTGTCACAACATTGACCCCTATTAAACTTTTTTTTTTTTTTAAAAAGATGTATTGATTTGAAAGGTGGAGTGGTCAGAGAGACCGAGATCTTCCATCTACCAGCTGGTTCACTCACCAACAGCACTAATGCCAGAGCCTAGCACTCCACTCGTCTCCCCCAGGGGAGGCAGCGGTGCAAGCACTCGGGTCATCTACTGGTGCTTTCCCATGGGCATTAGCAGAGGGAGTAGGCAGGACCTGAACTGGTGCTCTGATACGGGATGGCGGCACTGTAAGAGATGGCTTAACCCACTAGGTCACAACGTTGGCACCAGTTGTTAAACACAAACCAGCATACTACTGGTTGCACATGACCCCATCCTAATTCTGGTGCGAGACCCAAACTAGAATAAAAAATTCACTGTCTATGGTGCGGACATTTGGCTTAGTGGATGAACTGCCCTTCGGGATGCTCGCAGCCTGTATCGCCTGCATCACAGGGCCTGGATCTGAATCCCTGCTCCCCTGAGTCCAGCTACTGCAGATGTGCACCCCGGGCAGCAGCAGGCGACGTGGTTCAAATAATTGGGCTCCCTGCCACCTCTATGGGACGCTCAACTTGGGGATTGAATTCCTGGCTCCTGGCTTCAGCTTGGCCTGGTCCTGGCCACTGGGAGCATTTGGGGGAGTGAACCAGTGCATATGAGCATTCTCTTTGCTTCTCAAATACATAAATTAATTAAAAAAAAAAACACATTTATTTATTTATTTGAAAGGCAGAGTTAGAGAGAGGATCTTCCATCCGCTGGTTTGGTAGATGGCTACCATGGCTGGGGCTAGGCTAGGCCGAACCCAGTAGCCAGTAGTGAGGAGCTTCTTCTGGGTCTCCCATGTAGGGAAGGATTAGGGGCAACGGACTTGGACCATCTTCTGCTTTCCCAGGCCATTTACAGGGAGCTGAACTGGAAGTAGAACAGCTGGGACAAGAACCGGTGCCCACAATGGATGGTGGTATTGCAGGCAGCAGCTTTACACATTATGCCACAACACCCCCATAAATTAATTTTTAAAGCTGCCTAGAAAGAAAGCATCTTTTTGGGATCATTAAAAATTACTCCTTTTGTGAACACAGGGACATCTCATACATACCTTCTTTCCAATAAGCAAACAGTGGTCCTAACTAACAGCACACTGGGTCTGAGAAATTCTGGAACGTTAGGGAAAGGCTTTTGTGTCCTATGGTGAGTTATTTTTACTTTTTGCCCTTTGTTTCTTTCCTCAGATCCGTTCTCCCCTGTGAGAAGAGCTGGTGCCCTGGGGCGACATTAATGGGCCTCAAGAACAAACAAAGACGGGCCAGTTTGCTCCTGCCACCTCCAGGAAGTGATTCTGTGGGCCCAGAGCAACTGCCAGCCACACAAAGGCCAGATTCACCAGCCATTTGGGTCATTTCAGACATATGCAGTATTTCTCTAGGTCCTTAAAAGACTATCAGAATTGGACAGTGAAAAAGAATTAAATACACTACACACATTGATGTTTTTTCCTTTGTTTGAGTGACTGCAAATACTCTCTCTAATGGAAAAGATGTATACGTACAGGGGATCTATGCTATTTTTTTACCCATTTTTTTTTTAGGCAGTTGAAAAAAAATCCCAGAAGTCTATATAGCTGGTGATGTGTGCTACACATAGACACGCACAAACCCCCATCATCTTACGAAAAGTATAAAAACCAGGACATACGGACATTTGCTTTTCCCTTCCAGTAGAAAGGCATCCAAAACTCTTCTAAACTTGAGTGATTTCTTCTGTGGGAATTTTGCAATGATGTGGTAGACTGAGTATCACACTACACATATTTCCCACCAGATACTGGGAACTAGTAAAACAGTCATTAGGGTTTTAAGGGTTATTTCCAAAAATTTATGTGTGTTTATCCACGATAGGACCTTCAAATGTACTCGGAGTACTTAAAACTGTAATGAAACTAAAAAATGCTCAGATGGCATGACTTTGATCTTCAAAAAATCATCTGCGAAGCCGACGGCTTGCTCCACATGCCTCTCTGTGCGCTGTGAGAATATGGATATCATACTGCTTTTCATCTGCCAAAAAGGCGGAAGAACATCTGCATTTTATACTTTATTTAAAATCTAAACAACGGTAAGCAGTGACAGGTAAGTGGCAAGTCCGTACACGCGGTTGGGAACATCAAAGATTTACATATTCACAGTTCACAGGGCTTCCCCAGCAGCAAGGATTTCAGTCTATGTAGTCAAAGTCTTCCGGGATTCCAAAATTTTTATCAATTTTATTTTCTTCCAATCCAAATTTTCTTTTGGCCCAAGATTTTATTGCAAATATGTTATCTGCAAAGAAAATTGAGAAACATTTTGAGAACTGAAAACACAATCATAAAACATTTCAATATATGCATCTTCACTGTTCTAACTCTTCTGTTACTCTTAGATGTGTTATAGTAAGGAGTTCTCTGTACTTTGAACAAGTAAACAGATCTCTAATGTTCAGATTCTGTTACCTGCTGTTAAAGAGTACATAAGAACACTAGAAAGGTAGGGACAGGTTAATGGAGTCCTTGCCAATCTCCAGAGCAGGGCCAGGGCTCTGCTACCTCAGGGATTGGACATTCTCTCCAGTCCCCTCCTCCCCCACAGAGTAATGGCTTCCAGACAATCCCACCAGTGTGCAGGAGAGGGGTGAGGAGGAGGGAAGGGGCTTCTCCTTCCTTTAGACTGAGACCAACAGATGTGCCCTCAGCATCCCCTCAAGGAATTTAAAATTTGTTTTACCACCGTAAGAAGTGTCACATCTATTTAAAGGAATTTCTCCCAAATAAATAAAGCAAAGTGTATACCATTTTGGTCAAAGATCCTCATCCCAGTACAGTAGTAGACAAAAATAAAAGCAATCTACGACAGTTTCTCCTTGGGAAGGGTCTATGCACAGGCAGTACCCACATGCCAACAGTGGCTGCACTTGGGGAATAGGGGTGACAGTATTTTTTCTTTTAGTTCATAGATTTCTTGGATGTACATATCTAGGCTTTACAACGAAAATGTATTATAAGGGGTTGGCATTGTGGTGTAGCAGGTAAAGCTGCCAGTATCCCATATGGGCACCGGTTTGTGTCTCAGCTGCTCCACTTCTGGTCTAGCTCCTTACTGGCCTAGGTAAGCAGCAGACGATGGCCCAAGTGCCTGGCCACCTGCCACACAGATGGGAGGCCCAGATGACGCTTCTGGCTCTGCCCTGGCTCAGTCTTGGCTGTTTCAGCCACCTGGGGAGTGAACCAGCAAATGGAAGATCTTTCTCTCTTTCTTTTTTAAGAAAAGCAGTAACAAGTAGAAAGTAGAAGACTCACAGTGTAAGGTTTCCCGGTGTGTAGGGGAAGACTAGTGATAAGGAGGTGAAGCTGGCACAGGCTCTTGGGAGTGCTCTGGGATGAATCATGCCAACCCCCTCCCCCACATGCTGAAGTCTTGGCCCCCCTACCTCAGAATGTGACTGTATGGGACATAGATCTTTCAACAAGCTGCACCTAACCCAATCTTACTGGTGTCATTATAGTAAATGGAAATCTGGACACACTGAGACATCCGGGCTCGCACAAAGGAAAAACCATGAAGAAAAACCTAAGAGGACTTAGGGGGAAGGCAGAGCCCTGCAAGCCAAGGGGAGAGAGAGCCTCAGAACACCAAACCTGCCAACACTCAGGGATGCCCCCTGTCTGTGGGCATCCCTAGCAAATCCATACATGGAATTTGATCACTTTTTAAAGTACTGTTTTTGGCCGGCGCCGTGGCTCACTAGGCTAATCCTCCACCTTGCGGCGCCGGCACACCGGGTTCTAGTCCCGGTCGGGGCGCTGGATTCTGTCCCGGTTGCCCCTCTTCCAGGCCAGCCCTCTGCTGTGGCCAGGGAGTGCAGTGGAGGATGGCCCAGGTGCTTGGGCCCTGCACCCCATGGGAGACCAGGAGAAGCACCTGGCTCCTGGCTCCTGCCATCGGATCAGCGCGGTGCGCCGGCCGCAGCGCGCCGGCCACGGCGGCCATTGGAGGGTGAACCAACGGCAAAGGAAGACCTTTCTCTCTGTCTCTCTCTCTCACTGTCCACTCTGCCTGTCAAAAAAAAAAAAAAAAAAAAAAAAAAGTACTGTTTTTATGGAGATTTAATTCCAACTATCAAATCATGACAAATTCCTGGGATGCAGTTTCTTTCTTTCTTTCTTTCTTTCTTTCTTTCTTTTTTTTTTTTTTTATTTGACAGGTAGAGTTATAGACAGTGAGAGAGAGAGAGAGACAGAGAAAGGTCTTCCTTCCGTTGGTTCACTCCCCTAACGGCCACTATGGCCAGCGCTGCGCCGATCCAAAGCCAGGAGCCGGGTGCTTCCTCCCGGTCTCCCATGCGGGTGCAGGGACCCAAGCTCTTGGGCCATCCTCCACTGCCTTCCCGGACCACAGCAGAGAGCTGGACTGGAAGAAGAGCAACCGGGACAGAATTCGGCACCCCAACTGGGACTAGAACCTGGGGTGCCGGCGCCGCAAGCGGAGGATTAGCCTAGTGAGCCATGGTGCTGGCCAGGATGCAGTTTGTTTCTAAGGTAAATACTACCACATCAAACAGAAGAGTGCTAACAAAATTTCTCCATTTCTTTCAATTAAAGTGTTACAGAATGTATACTGGAATGCATCTTTACATTTCATAGCAGTTCCAAATGAGTCTTTACCTTTCGTAATAATCCAAGAGATAATAGCAAAATAACAGCACAACATAGTCCAGGCTGACCTGTTTGGCTTTACTGGTGTCTACACAATTAGTATGCTATTGCCACTTGCTGCCAGATGTTTACAGAAGTCCCTCTGCTGCACCAAACAGGTATTCAGTGTATTACAGGTATGAGGGTGTATCTTCAAATACACCCAAGGAGGGAAAAAATAATGTATTCTGCAACACTTCCTAAGTGATGTGTGTGCTAGGGAGAAAACAGCAGGTATCGTGTGTACAGCTTCCAGGACAGCCCCACAGAGAAACAGAGTTCCAGGAACCGAGAGAACCACACAACACTGGCGCGTGCAGAGACAGCCCTGGGCCAGAGGAGAAGAAAATGGGCACCAGAAGAGGGCTACTGAGCAGCCTCTGTGGGAAGGACTTCCAGGTGCACACAGGACAAGATGCCATTATAAATGGTCAAGTACTGAAATCAAAAAAGAACAAATCAAAACTTCTTCATAACGAGGCCTATTAAAACAAAGACTCTGATAAAACACTTCCTTGGCCACTGGGTATCTAAATAAATCTTAAAAAAAAGAAATTTCTATAAATGGATAAAGAATGTATTATTTTGTTGTTTTTAAAGAAATAACCCTAACACTAGCAGAACTCCTGTTCATTTATGTGGTGGCATAGCTGAGATACCTATTGGAAAAGGCTAGGCATTAGCATTTACAATGAGTCTGCGTCAGGAACTCACATTTATCCCTCTAGACGCTTCTGTAGGGCATCAGGAAAAACCCCATCAGGGAGGGAGGGTGGGAAGTATCACTACGGGTTTAAAATTGCATATCTGAAATACATAAAATCTGTTCTTTTATATAAATAAAAAGTAGTTCTGACTTTAGAAAAAAAATACACTATCCTGGCTATTAAGTGAGGTTTTAAAAAATCATATTTAAGTATATTTAATGTCACAAAACATTTAGATGTAATATTTCTATATTGAAGGAACTTCAAAAAGTTCATGGGAAAATAGAATTAGAAGACGTTTATATTTCCTCATCCTTTTAAATTATCTGAGACACAGAGACACTCAGAGCTCCCATTTACTGGTTCATGCTCCAAATGCCCAGGACAGCCAGAGGCAGGCTGGTGCTGGAGCTGGAAACCAGAGCTCAATGCGGACCTCCCACCTGGGTGGCAGGAACCTAACCACTTGAACCATCCCCTGCTGCCTCCAGGGGTCTGCATTATCAGGGAACTGGTGTCAGGAACTGGAGCCAGGTATCAAAGCAGGCAGGCACTCTGCTATGGGACTCAGGTGACTTAAGCAGCACCTTAACCACTAGGCCAAATGCCCACCTCGCCATGAGCTTTGTGAAGTACTCTTGTAAAGGCCCCAAAGTAACCTCTCATTACTTCCACAGTAAATGGTCTCAATTCTAGACACTTTAATGACTTTTCTCAGTAAAAGGAAACCAAACCTTAACTAACAGCTATATGATAACCGGTAGTTGTGAGTACTACTGGGACTGGTGCTTTGTTTGTTTTGAAGGCAGGGAGGTTTTTGCAGTGTGATTCGCTTTCTCTCCAAGCTTTCCACAGCAGGCGTTTATGTTGGTGTAAGCTGCGACCTCAAATGGAAACAGGGTTCTTACAGCTGCTTCTGTTGTTCTCAAAATGCTTTCCTCCCACGTTCTTTAAAAGCTCCAGGTGCTCTTGCAGCTAATACCGCTGGGGGTGGGGGTGGTGGTGTTCCAACTGTTTTTTCTAACAACTTTAGAAGCCTATGTTGAATTGGAAGACAAAAAGTCCTCACAAGCGGTTTCTGAGCACAGAAGGGAAAAGGGGTGTATTTCCCTGCTCTGATACTGTGCTGGGGAGCCTGCAAGCCCTTCCTACTCCATCCTCCTGAATACAAGTAGTTCTTATCCACACTGAGGAGATGAGGAAGCCGCTTCGGAGAAGTTCAAAAGGTCAAACAGCAAATAAGAGCACAGCCTAGAGTCCTTTCAAAGTCAAGTTCCTTCCACTGCAAACACGTGTTCCCTGTTTCTACTGTAGGATGAGCTGTTCTGTCCAGAACTATTGGAGGAAATCACCTTATGACTCTCTTATTTTTAAGTTTCTTTTGTCACACTCAAAAATTTCCATTTCTTTGGGCCGGCGCTGTGGCGTAGCAGATAAAGGTGCCGCTTGTAGTGTCAGCATCCTCTACAGGCGCCAGTTCAAGTCCCGGCTGCTCCTCTTTTGATCCAGCTCTCTGCTGTGGCCTGGGAAGGCAGCACAGGTTGGGTCCCTGCACCCAAGTGGGAGACCCAGAGGAAGCTCCTGGCTCCTGGCTTCTGATTGGCTCAACTCCGGCCATTTTAGCCATTTGGGGAGTGAACCAACGGATGGAAGACTTCTCTCTCTCTCTGCCTCTCAAATAAATAAATAAATTTTAAAAATTCCATTTCTCATATAATATTGTACTTACTTATTTATACTTTGTAAGACACATTTCTTTATCCTTTTTAAATGCTAGTCTGCTGTTTTTACCCTCCTCTGTTCTTATTACTAACGCATTATTACTTAAAAAAATAATTCTGCAGGGAATAGTGTTGTGGTATACTAGGTACAGCTGCTTCCTGTGATGCCAGCATCCCTTATGGGCACTGATTTGCGTCCTGGCTGCTCCATTTCCAACCCAGCTCCCTGCTAATGGCCTGGGAAAAGCAGTGGAAGACGGCCCAATTGCTTGGGCCCTCTGCTATCCATGTGGGAGACATGGATATTTATTTATTTTAAAGACAGAGTGAGAGAGTGAGAGAGATTCTTCCACCCATTTGTTCACTCCCCAAACGACTGCAATGGTTACAGCTGGACCAGTACGAAGCCAGGAGCTTCTTCAGGATCTCCCATGTACGTGCAGGAGCCCAAGCACTTGGACCATCTGCTGATGCCTTCCCAAGCATATTAGCAGGGAGCTGGTTTAGAAGCAGAACAGCCGGCCGGCGCCGCGGCTCACTAGGCTAATCCTCCGCCTAGCGGCGCCGGCACACCGGGTTCTAGTCCCGGTCGGGGCGCTGGATTCTGTCCCGGTTGCCCCTCTTCCAGGCCAGCCCTCTGCTGTGGCCAGGGAGTGCAGTGGAGGATGGCCCAAGGGCTTGGGCCCTGCACCCCATGGGAGACCAGGAGAAGCACTTGGCTCCTGCCATCGGATCAGCACAGTGCGCCGGCCGCGGCGGCCATTGGAGGGTGAACCAACGGCAAAGGAAGACCTTTCTCTCTCTCTCTCACTGTCCACTCTGCCTGTCCCAAAAAAAAAAAAAAAAAAAAAAAGGCAGAACAGCCAGGACTTGAACCAGTGCCCACATGGTGTGCCAGCATCTCAGGCAGCAGCTTTACCTGCTACGACATAGCACTGACCCCAAAATGATTTTTTTTTTTTTTAAGATTTATTTTATACATTTGAAAGAGTTACAGAGAGAGAGGTTTTCCATCTGCTGGTTCACTCCTCAAATGGCCACAAGGGCCAGAGCTGGCCAAAGCCAGGAGCTTCTTCTGGGTCTCCCACACGGGTGTGGGGGCCTAAGCACTTGGGCCATCTTCCACTGCTTTCCCATGTAATTAGAAGAAAGCTGGATTGAAAGTGGAGTGGTTAGAACTCACATCAGCGCTGAAAGCTGGGGCTTTAACCCTCTGCACCACAGCGCTGGCCCCCCGGAATGATTTAAGTCTTCTGTGAAACAGAGGCCTGGACAGGGCACCAAGGACACTTGGCTCAGATCTGTTCTCCCAGTAATGATTCCTAACCTCTATCTAAACAAATCACCCGAGCTTTGTGCACCTCTGTGTCTACTTCATCTTATCCATACTCCCCCACAGAAACAAAATGAGGATCAGGAATACCAGTGAAGGCATTATAGACTCACCAGGCTGAAAAACTGCAATTACCATTTTCTTATAATTAAACACTGAAATACTAGTAACATTCTCTGAGAAATGTTAATAATATTAGTCATTTATAACTCGCAGCAATAACTATTTTTATCCTAAACCTTCAGACATGGGTAATGCCTTATGAATTTCCATTTTTTAGACTATATCTGTTGTAGATCAGTGGGTGTCTCCCCTGGCAGATGGGCTATTCAGATAGTTAAATGAAAACAGACTTATCCTGTAGTAGGAAAGAGCTTGGACTCTGGAATCAGAAATCTGAGTTTAACGCCTGCACCACCGCCAAGCAAACGTGTGGCCCTGGACTCCCAAGGGTCTTAGTTTCATCTTAAAAATTGGGTAGGATAATCCTAGCTACCTCACAAGAGAACTGTGGAAATGCAGCACAGACCCATCACATAGCTGGGCATACAGGCAGCCCTCAAGACTGCACTACCGACAGAAAGACAAATCTTACACATGCCATGAAACTCTTAAAGGTGTCTGAGTATCTTCTGAACACAAAGGTTAAAAAGCAACTGATACAAAATTACTCATAGTAAGATTAAAATAAAATCTTTTTTTTTTTTTTTTTTGGACAGGCAGAGTGGACAGTGAGAGAGAGAGACAGAGAGAAAGGTCTTCCTTTGCCGTTGGTTCACCCTCCAATGGCCGCCGCGGCTGGCACGCTGCGGCCGGCGCACCGCGCTGATCCGATGGCAGGAGCCAGGAGCCAGGTGCTTTTCCTGGTCTCCCATGGGGTGCAGGGCCCAAGCACCTGGGCCATCCTACACTGCACTCCCTGGCCACAGCAGAGGGCTGGCCTGGAAGAGGGGCAACCGGGACAGAATCCAGCGCCCCGACCGGGACTAGAACCCGGTGTGCCGGCGCCGCTAGGTGGAGGATTAGCCTAGTGAGCCGCGGCGCCGGCCTAAAATAAAATCTTAAATGGAATGATTTAATAGCTAAAAACTTGAGGAACGTATCTATTTCTAGAAATCTCATTTCTTGAACAAAGCTAGCACAAAGGCAACTGAACTTCACACTACATTAACTCCACAAGATATTTAACTATAGTTTAATATTGTCATTAAGATACATACCAGTCCATCTGTTAGCAGCTTCTTTGGCTATTTTATTTGCTTGACCTTAAAAAAGAATTATATATGTAAGTTTACATATATAAAATTATCTTCAGCTGTCTATAGGTTTATTTTTTTCCACAGGAATAAGTTTTTATAAAATGGGTACATTTAATAGAATTTATATGAAATAACTATGAAAAAAAACTCAAAGAGTGGTATAACACTGTATCTTACAAACCTGCTCAAATTCCCAAGGAAATTATATTATATTTATATTAGTCACGAATAGAAAGCTAATATGAACAATTTCCCTTACTAAATGTTCACCATCACTGTACTTGTTCCTTTAAAGGCAACATAAGTTTAAACGTTTCTCAAACAACTTATCATACCAAAATACAGCACAATTGAAAGGTAAGAATTTTGCTATATATAAAATATTAGGTCACAATGAATCTGACCTTAAAAAATTGTAGAGGGGCTGGCACTGTGGTAAAGCGGGTAAAGCTGCTGCCTGCAGTGCTGGTTTGAGTCCCAGTTGTTCCACTTCTGATCCAGTTCTCTGCCATGGCTTGGGAGGGCAGTGGAAGATGGCCCAGGTCCTTGGCCCTTGCATTCGTGTGGGAGTCCTGGAAAAAGCTCCTGGCTCCTGGCTCCGGACTGGCTCAGCTCCAGCCCTCGTGGCCATCTGGGGAGTGAACTAGTGGATGGAAGACCCCTCCCCCCTTTTCTCTGTAATCTTTCAAATAAATCAATAAATCTTTAAAAAAAATTGTAGCAGTGGAGTGGGCATTTAGTGTGGTTAAAATGCTTGCAAGCTGTATCGGATGGCCAACTCTGTGTCTGATGGCCAACTCTGGCTCCTGAGTCCAGCTTCCTGCCAATGCAGGCCTGAGGATGCACCTGTGATGGCTCAAGCAAGCAGGTTCCTCCCTCATGTGGGAGGCCGGGATTGAGTTCCCGGCTTCTAGCTTCAGCCCTGGCTCAGCGCTTTCTGTTACTGGCATTTGGGAAGTGAACCAGGGGATGGGAACACTATCTCTGTGTCTCTCAAATAAGTTAAACAACACAAATTTTGTTTTTTAGTGGTGAAGACTGGAGCTGTGGTGCAGGGGGTTAAGTTGCCACTTAGAACGCCAGCATCTCCTATCAGAGTGCCAGTTCCAACTGCTCCACTTTTTTTTTCTCAAAGGATTATTTACTTGAAAGGCAGCGTTACAGAGAGAGAAGACAGATCTCATCTGCTGGTTCACTCACCAAATGGTGGAAACAATCAGGCATAGGCCAAGCCAAAGCCAGGAGCTAGGGACCCGAGCTATCTTTTACATCTTTCCCAGGAGCATTAGTAGGGAGCTGGACCACAAGTGGAGCAGCTGGGACTCAAACCAGCACCCATATTGGATGCAGGTGCTGCAGGCCACGGCTTAACCTGCTGAGCCACAGTGCTGGCCCCCAACTGCTCCACTTTTGATCCAACTTACTATGAATGCACCTGGGAAGGCAGCAGAAGCTGGCTCAACTACTTGGGCTGCTCCTGCCACCCAGATGCGGGAGATCTGGATGGAGCTCCTGGCTGGCCCAGTCCTGGCTGTTGTGACCATTTGAGGAGTGAATCAGCACACAGGAGACCTCTCTTTATCACTCTTCTAAATAAAAAATAAACAAAAAATTTTTTGAAGTTACTGATAATGAGAATAACCTTTAGGAGAAAATATTTATAATTTACTTATATATTTAATTAGATATCCTATCACTAAATTTGTACATATTTTGTCTTTGAAGTTAATCTATACAGTGCTTAACAGGCCTATGATCAATTGGGCATAAATATGATTTAAAATGGTGTTATTTATTTATTATTTACTTCAGAGGTAATTACAGACAGAGAGGGACAAACAGAGAGAGGTCTTCCATCTGCTGGTTCACTCCCCAGGTGGCTGCAACGGCCAGAGCTGGGCCAATCCGAAGCCAGGAGTCAGGAGCTTCTTCCAGGTCTCTCACATGGGTACAGGGGCCCGAGCACTTGGGCCATCTTCTACTGCTTTCCTAGGCCACAGCAGAGAGCTGGATTGGAAATGGAGCAGCTAGGATTAGAACCGGCGCCCAGATGGGATGCCAGCACCAAAGGCAGAGGCTTAGTCCACCTCATCACAGCATCAGCCCCGGTGTTTTTTAAGAACCCTTATTTATTTGAAATATAGAGACACACAGAGTCAGAGACAGATCTTCCACACATTGGTGTACTCCCCAGATGCCTACAACAGCTGGGGCTGGTCGAGGCCAAAGCCAGGAGCTGAGAACTCAATCCAGGTCTCCCATGAGGGTTGCAGGACCAAACCCTTGAACCATCACTGCTGCCTTCCAGGGTCTACTTCAGCAGCAAGCTGGAATCAGAAGTGGAGCCAGGACTCAAACCCAGGCACTCCGATATGGGATGTGGGCATTCCAAGTGGCATCTTATATACCACAGAATTCACCATACCAAAGTATATGTACTTCAGTGCTTTTTATTATATTTGCATGATTGTAAAACCACCACCACTACCTAATTCCACAGCACTTCATCACCTAAAAGGAAATCTTGCATTGATGAGCAGTCACTCAACATTCCCCATCCTCCCAGCCCCTGGCAACCACTAATCTACTTTGTCTCTATGGATTTCCTTTTTGTGGATATTTCATATGAAACATACAATTTGTGGTCTTTAGTGTTTGGCTTCTATCTCTTAGCACAGTATTTTCAACTTTTATCCATGTTGTACTACATATCAGTAGTTTTTTGGTGCTAATTTATATTCCACAATTTACTTACATCCATTCACCAGTTGATGGACATTTGGGTTGTTTCTGTTATTATGAGTAATTATTAATTTCTGCGTGGACGCATTTTCGGGTCTCCAGGGTATGTATCCAGGGATGGAATGGTGGTTCACATGGTAGCTGTGTATAACATTTGGGAAACAGACACACAGTTTTCCAAAATGTCTTCACCATTTTACAATCCTACCAGCAATTTGAGAGGTCCAAGTTTCTTGTCAATGCTTATTATTTCCCATTTTAAAAATATTCATTATATATTTTGTAAACTTGCTCACCTCATTTCTTAGGAGTAATACCTTATTTACATTGTTTAGGGTTTTTTATGTATGCAGAAGATCATACCATTTGAGAACAGTTTTTACTACTTTTTCAAAAGCTTTCAGCGTCCCAACACTCATTATATATGCTGTGGCTTTTTTGTAGGTGCCTTTCCAACAGCTGAAGAAGTCCACTTCTAGTCCTAGTGTGTTGACTGTCTTAATCGTGAAAGGGTTTTAGACTTTGTCAAATACTTTTTCTTCTTGTCCTGGGACAATCATGTGGTTCTCTCCTCCGACTTTATTCTATAAACAGGCTGCATTACATTAACTCATTTTTTTTCTGTTGAATCAACCTTGAATCCCTGGGACAAATTTCACTCCTTTTGATATGCTACTGGATTTGTTTTGTTACTAGTGCAACTTCTTGAACCTAATATTCATAAGTAATTTCATTTTTAGTTTTCTTGTGATGTCTTTGAGTTTCAGTTATCAGGTTAATACTGATCACCTCAAAGAATGAATAAAGATTTGAAATGCTGGTGAGGATGTGGAGGAAAAGGCATCCTATTACACTGTTGGTGGGAATGTAAACTAGTGCAGCCATTGTGGAAGACAGTATGGAGATTCCTCAGAAACCTAAAAACAGATCAACCATATGACCCAGCCATTCCATTCCTGGGAATTTACCCAAATGAAATGAAATCAGCATATGAAAGAGCTATCTGTACCCCCAGGTTTATTGCAGTTCAATTCACAATTAGCTCAGATGTCCATCAACTGATGACTGGATAAAGAAACTGTGGTGCATACATACTATGGAATACTACTCAGCCGTAAAAAAGAATGAAATACTGTCTTTCACAATAAAATGGGTGCAACTGGATACTATTATACTTAGTGAAATAAGCCTGTCCAAAATACAAACTTATGTTTTCCCTGATCAGTGGTAACTAACAGAGTACAAAAAAAAATAATATATGTGAGCAAAATTGACATTTTACAATTTGATTGCTTATGGAGGGTTAAGCTTATGATTATAAAATAAACTAAAAGTATGTCATTGTAAAAATTAAAATAAGAATGGGAGGAGGAGGGAAGGTTGGAGCGTGGGAGGGACGGAAGGTAGCATGGGAAGTATCACTACGCTCCTAAATCTGTATATATGAAATATATCAAATTTCTTCATCTTAATAAAACAAAACAAAACAAAACAAAACTTTAATTCTTTAGAATTTTGCCAGTGAGACTGGAATTTTTCTTGTGAGAATTTTGATTACTAATTCAGTCTATCTACACATAGTAGATACAGTCAGGCTATCTTTGCCTGAACCAATTTTGGTAGTCTTCATCTTTCTAGGCATTTGCTCATGTAGGTCATCAAATTTACTGACATATAATTGTTCGCAGCTTTCCCCTTCATTACCCTAGGGTCAACAGTAATGTTACCTCCTTCAATGCTGATTTTTGTAACCTGAGATCTCTTTCTTTTCTCTCTCTGCCATGTAGATGGCAGGGGCCCAAACCCTTGGGCCATCTGCTGCTGCTTTTCCCAGGCCATTAGCAGGGAGCTGGATTGGAAGTTTAAGTAGCAGGGACATGAACCAGCACAAGCCACAGTGTTGGCCCCTGTCCTTAGTTTCTTAAGGTGGAAGGCTAGATTACTGATTTCAGAACTTTCTTTCTCACTGGTTTTTAAATATCCTTGCTTACATATTAACAGATATCTCACTGCATATTGCTATAATTGTATCCCCTAAGTTTTTATGCTTCCCAAGCTTCCTTCTCTTATGTAACATCATTTCGTTGTTATCAGACATATTGTATACTTCAGTTCCTTTCAATATAGTCAATGTGTATTCTGCTGTTGTTGGGTGGAGGATCCTAAAGCTGTAAGGTTTGGATGGCTCACCTGGTTACCTCTTCTATTTTCTCGCTGTGTTCTATTGTTCTATCTCTCAGTCAAAGTGGGACACTGGAGATTGACTGGTTGGACTGTCCCCCCTTAAATCCGCAGTTTTTGTTTTGCATGATTTAGTGCTCTACTGTTAAGTGTATACAAGATATACAATTGTAATTTCTTCTTAAAAAATTGACCCTATATCACTGCGATAACAGGTTATACTTGTCTCTAGTAACAATCGTTGTTTTACAGTTTATTTTACCTGGCTTAGTTTAGTTGCTCCAGTTCTTTTGTGGTTATTGTTTGAATAGTGTGTCTTTTTTATCAAACTTCTTTCAACAATCTGTGTTTCTGAATCTAATGTGAGTCTTTTATATACAGTCAGTTTTAGAAGATTTCTTCTATTCTGCTAGTCCCTACCTTTTAATTGGAGAGATTAACCCATTCTCATTTAGTGTAATTACTCATAAGGTAGTACTGACATCTGTAATTTTGCTATTTGTTTTCTGTATGTCTGTTTTGACCCTCAGTTCCTTCACAACTGCCTTCTTTCAGGTTAAATGGACTTTTTTTTTTCTTTTTTTTTTTTTATTTGACAGAGTGGACAGTGAGAGAGAGAGAGAGAGAGAGACAGAGAGAAAGGTCTTCCTTTTCCATTGGTTCACCCCCCAAATGGCCGCTGTGGCTGGTGCGCTGTGGTCAGCGCATTGCGCTGATCTAAGGCCAGGAGACAGGTGCTTCTCCTGGTCTCCCATGAGGGTGCAGGGCCCAAGCACTTGGGCCATCCTCCACTGCACTCCTGGGCCACAGCAGGGAGCTGGACAGGAAGAGGAGCGACCGGGACAGAATCCGGCGCCCTGACTGGGACTAGAACCCGGGGTGCCAGCGCCACAGGCGGAGGATTAGCCTATTGAGCCGTGGTGCCGGCCAAATGGATGTTTTTTAGTCTACCATTAATTTTCCTGCAGTAACTTTTACTAAATATTTTTGGATTATTTTCTTAATAATTGCCCTAGAGATTGCTACTAGGATCTGTTTTTTTTTTTTTTTTAAGATGTTTATTTATTTATTTGAGAGGCAGAGTTACAGAGAGGGAGAGACAGACAGAAAGGCCTTCCATCCACTGGTTCACTCCCCATGTGGCTGCAATGGCAGGAGCTGGGTGGATCTGAAGTCAGGATCCAGGAGCTTCTTTGGGATCTCCCATATATGTGCAGGGACCCAAGCACTTGGGCATCTTCCACTGCTTTCGCAGGCCATAAACAGAGAACTGGATTGGAAGAAGAGCAGCCAGGACACAAACCAGCACCCATACGGGATGCTGGTGCCACAGCTTAGCCTACTATGCCATAGCACCAGCCCTTGCTATTAGTATCTTAATTGATCAGGGCCAGTACGGTGGCATAGAAGGTTAAGCCTCCACCGACAATGCTGGCATCCTACATGGGCACCGGTTTCACTTCTGATCCAGTTCCCTGATGTGCCTGGGAAAGCATTGGTGGATGGCTCAGCACTGGCCAATGTGGCCATTTAGGGAATGAATCAGAGGATGGGAGACCCCCCTCTTCCTCTCCTTCTCTCTTTGTATCTCTGCCTTTCAAATAAACAAATCTTTTAAAAAATCTTAATTTAGCCGGCGCCGTGGCTCAATAGGCTAATCCTCTACCTTGCGGCGCCGGCACACCGGGTTCTAGTCCCGGTTGGGGTGCCGGATTCTGTCCCGGTTGCCCCTCTTCCAGGCCAGCTCTCTGCTATGGCCAGGGAGTGCAGTGGAGGATGGCCCAGGTGCTTGGGCCCTGCACCCCATGGGAGACCAGGAAAAGCACCTGGATCCTGGCTCCTGCCATCGGATCAGCGCGGTGCGCCGGCTGCAGCGGCGGCCATTGGAGGGTGAACCAGCGGCAAAGGAAGACCTTTCTCTCTCTCTGTCTCTCTCTCACTGTCCACTCTGCCTGTCAAAAAAAAAAAGAAAAAAAAAATCTTAATTTATGACAATCTAGTTCATATTAATAAACAGTACACAAAAACTTTGCTTCTATAAAACTCCATTCTTTCATGCCCCACTTTATGCTGTTATTGTAGGAAATTTCATTTTATACATTGCTGGAGTCAGTAGCTAGTCAGTATTTAACCCAGGTCCTACAATACAGAATATGAATATCTGAACTGGCATCTTAACAACTAGGCCAAACACCTGACCTTCCATGAATTTTTGGAAGACTCCTCATGTAGATTTATTTTTGTTGCTTTATGTAGTTGTGTTTTAAATCAGATAGAACAAAGGGAAATAGAAACAAAAATACATGTATATGCAATACTTCAAAATGTAAGTGGAAAAATGAAATTCAATGATAAACTTAGGAGAGTTTGCTGCAGTAGTTAAGATACTACTTGAGATGCTAACTCATACTACAGTACCATGTTCAAGTCCTCGCTTCACTCAATTCCAGCTCACTGCTAATGCACACTCTTGGAAGCAGGATGACAGCTCAAGCACTTGGGCCTATGTAACCCACATGAGACCCAGAACCACATCTGGTTTCCTAGTCCCAGTCACTGTAGGCCTTTGGGAAGTGAACCAATGGATGTGAGACCTCTGTCTCTCTGCTTTTCGAGTAAATACATTTTTAAGTTGATTTGGGCATATAATTTTTTGAAATCCATGCACAGTTGGTTCATAATACTCATTTTCATAATATAATTTTCCATGAACTTTCTGAAGGCTCTTTGTACTGTCCTTTATATTTACCTATGTAGTAATCTTTATCATTGTGATGTATTTCTTCATGCTGAACAAGCAATGGTCTAGTGTCCTTTCACTTCAGTCTGAAGGGCTCCCGTTAGTATTTTTTGTAGGGTAGGTCTGCCAATGACAAAGTTTTAGTTAATATTTACCTAAGAATATGCATTTTTTCTTTATTCTTTTTTATTTAGGCAGAATTGTACCAAACATAAATGCCCCAAGCAGAAATTCATTTTTGTCTATTTCTTTTTTTTATAAAGAGAATATCATTTTTTTAAAAAAGTTTTATTATTCATTTGGAAAGGTAGAGTGACAGCAAGAGACAGAGACAGACAGATTTTTCCATTTGTTGGTTCACTTCCCCAAATATCCACAAAAGCTAAGGCTGGGCCAGGTGAAAGCCAGGAGCTAAGAAATCCATCTCAGTCTTCCACATGTGTGGCAGGAATCAAGTACTTGAGCCATCATCTGATTCTTCCCAGGCATAAAAGCAAGCAACTGGATCAGAAGCAGGATTCAAACTGGTATTGTAATACGGGGTGCAGGCATCCCAAGCAGCTGCTTAACCTACACACTGCACCAACGTGCTTGCCCAAAAAAGCTGGATCAGAAGTGGAGGCGTGGCAGCATAACCCGCTACCCCAAACACCTGCTCCAACTGAAAATATCCTACTTTGCCTTTAAATTTAAAGGTAAATGCTTCTGAATACAGAATTCTTGGTTGACAGGTTTTTCTTTCAGCACTTTAAATATGCCATCCCAATGCTTTTGGCCTCTAGGATTTCTAACAAGAAACAAGCTGCTAATCTCACTGAAGATCTCTTGTCTGTGATGCATTGTTTTTTTCTTGTCAGTTTCAAAACTCTCTTTATCTTTGCTTTAGACAATCTGATCCCGATTCATGGATCTCTTGGAGCTTCAACTATTTGGAGTTCACTGGGCTTTTCTTATGTGTGCATTAATGTTTTTCATCAAGTCTCAGCTATTATTTCTTCAAATATTCTTTTTATCCCTTTCCTTTCCCGCTTTGCTTCTGGAATTTCCATTGTGTGCACTGGCACTCTTGATCGCATCCCATGGATCTTTAAGTCTCTGCTAATATTTCCTTATTCTCTCTGTTCTTCAGACTTGGAAAATTTCAAATATCTTCAAGTTTACTGATTTTTCTTCTGCTTGGTCAAACCCATTATCAATTCTTACAGTGCATTTTTCATTTCAGTTACTATAGCTTTCAACTTCAGATTTTCTATTTGGTTACTTTTAAATATTTTCTGCCTCTTTATTGATGTGGTCTCTTTGGTGAGATAGCATTCTTAGACTTTCCTTTTGATCTTCAAACATTTAAAACAGCTGGCTCAAAGCAGCTGTCTCATAAGCCTAACATCTAAGCATCCTCAAGAATAATTTAAAATAATATATTGAGGCAACTTGGAAAAATCAGAGTTGCCCTTCTTTAGTGTTTTAACTGTTAACATTTCTTTGTTTAGTGGCTTCTCTGAACTAATTTTGTAGTCTGTGTTCTTTGTTAAGTCTGGACACTCAAATCTTTACTCAGCTTAGTGGTCAGCTACTGACTAAACAGAAATTTGCTTAAACACCTGGACTAAATCTCTTTGCAAAGAGGCTCTTTGAAAAAGGGTCTGCAGGTCTGCAGGGGCTGATGCTGTGCACAGCAGGTAAAGCTGCCTCTTGCAGTGCCGGCATCCCGTACAGACACTGGTTCAAGTCCCGGCTGCTCCACTTCCGATCCAGCTCTCTGCTATGGCCTAGGAAAGCAGAAGATGGCCCAAGTCCTTGGGCTTCTGCACTCACGTGGGAGACCTGGAACAAACTCCTTGCTACTGGCTTCAGATCAGCACAGCTCCAGCTGTTGCAGCCACCTGGGGAATGAACCAGCGGAATGGAAGACCTCTCTCTCTCTGCCTCTCCTTCTCTCTGTGTAACTCTGACTTTCAAATAAATAATCTTTTTTTTTTTAAAGATGTTCAAAGACTGTGTGTGTGTATGTGTGTGTGTGTTGGGGCAAGATTAACACTCAGCTAATCTACAACTCTGCCTCCGTTTTCACTTCCTACTTGGAGCATTAAGGTCAGCTCCACGTGAACTCTGAACCTTCTCTTGTCTTTACTGAAAGTGTGAGAAGCCCTAGGTATGCATGTAGCCTTCTAGATTTTCAGGAATATATCATTTCTCAAGGCACTGATAGGTGTCTTCTTCAGCTTCTCCTTTTAAGTTTTTGATGAGTCTACTATTTGCCTTAACTGTTATACATTACTTAATACAGCTGTGAAGTTAAAATTCTTGCCAGTAATTGCTTTAGACAAACACTTCCTGGGGAGAAGCTATTAGCACTGGGCTCCATGCCAGGTCCTTAGACAAGCCTTTCATTGGTATCTTTCAGGGCGCCATCAGGCACGTAAATAATGACAACTGTTTAGGACCGACTCTCTCAAAGAGCTCCACGTGCATTCTGTTCCCTCTGACAACAGCAGTTGACGTTTGTGATCTTGGAAGGCTACTGCTGAGATGGAGGATGGGGAATAAGAATCGGCAAATTAAAATACCACAAGATTCACTATTACTGAGCTTTGGCCACTGTCCTCTAATAGGCTCTCAAAGTTTTTGTTTAATTTCCACAGTTCTTAAAAAGTTAGTTGTGACAATTTTTATGAGCTTTCCTAGAGAGGTGAATTTTCAGATACTGTCTACCATTTTCACTGGCATCTGGCATTTTTTTTTAGAATTAAAAATTCTATAATGAGAATTTATTGATTTTGTTTGAAAGGCAGAGAGAGAGAGAAAGCTCTTCTATCCTTTGATTAACTCCCCAAATGGCTGCAAGGTCAGGGTTGGGCCAAGTTAGAGTCAGGAGCTCAGAAGTGCATCTGGGTGTTCCACATGGGTACAGGGACTCAAGTACTCCATCATCTGCTGTTTTTCCAGGCACATCAGCAGGTAGCTGGATTGCAAGTGGAGCAGCTGGGATTTGAATTGGCACTCTGATATGGATGCCAGTGTTCTAAGTGGCAGCTTAACTTGCTATGCTCCAACACTGGTTCCTGGCTGTTGATTTCTAAGAAAATGTCAAAATGTAAATAATTCTTGCAGGCATTACAGAGATGTAAATGATACAAACACATGGCTATATGAACAAAAGGTTATCACTATTATTACAAATTATATTTCAAAATATACTTAGAGATAAGCCTGAGCACTACAATATGGGTGCTATTAAGAACTATATCCTAGAGGCTGGCACTGTGGTATAGTAGGTTAAGCCTCTGCCTGAAGTGCCAGCATCCCATATGGGCACTGGTTCAAATCCTGGCTGTTCCACTTCCAATCCAGGTCCCTGATAACGGTCTGGGAAAGCAGCGGAGGACTGCCCAAGTGCTTGGTACCCTGTACCCATGTGGGAGACATGGCTCCTGGCTCCAGAATGGCCCAGCTCTGGCCGTTGTGGCCATTTGAGGAGCGAACCAGGGGATGGACGACATTTCTCTCTGTCTCCCTCTAACTTTGCCTCTCGAATAAATAAATCTTTAACAAAAAACCTATTAAAATCCATTTGTGAAACTCATAATCCTTTAATCCAGTGTAATATGTTCTACACTAACATGACAGCTGAAATCCTATTAAATCCATCATCAAGAAACACATTTTAAAAACAGTAATTTCACTTGGAAAGGAAATCTGGAGCTGAGTAAAGGTCAAAGTCTAAAAGTTCTCTAAAGTTAGTGACAAGATCACCGGCATCTTCTATTGAACTATTCAGGTTTCTTGGATCTGTAGGTTTTTATATTTCATCAAATTCGAAAAATATTAGCTCTTATTTCTTCAGATATTTTTCTGATTCACCAACCTCCCATCCGTGACTCCTTTTGAGATTTCAATCACATTTATTAGGACACTTGCAGTTGTCCTACAGATCTTGGATGCTATTTTCATGCTTTTTAAATTACCTCTTCACTTCAGCTTCTATTGCTAGGTCTTTAAATACACTGCTCCTTCTTTCTGTCGAATCTAACCCAAGCCAGTGTACTTTTCCTGTCAGATGTGGTAGCTGCCACGGTCAGAAGTTTGATAGCTATATTTTATTTATTTATTTATTTATTTGGACAGGCAGAGTGGACAGTGAGAGAGAGAGACAGAGAGAAAGGTCTTCCTTTGCTGTGGGTTCACCCTCCAATGGCCGCTGCGGCCAGCGCACTGCGGCCGGCACACCGCGCCTGATAGCTATATTTTTATATCTTCCAGGTTTCTACTTTGCTTTTGAAAAGCTAGAATACAATGAAAGTAACTTTTTAAATGTTTGGGTCTGCTAATTTTACTTTCTGGATCAGTTTTGATGATGATGATTTTTGATAAGATCATTCTGCTCTTTATGAATGCTTCCTACTTCTCTGTATGCCTGGTGATCTTTGCTTATTTGCCACCTATAACAAATCTTATTGTTTTGGCTGCTAAATATTTTGGTATTCTTATAAATATTCTTGAGATTTGTTCTGGGCTGTATCTAAGTTACTTGGCAATTGTGTGATGCTTTCAAGTCTTGGTCTATGGCTTATTAGCAGAGCCAAAGCAGAGTCTAGGGTTAATCACTCCCCTTTACAGAGGCAAGGCTTCCTTGAGAACTCTACCTACTGCCTGGGGATAGTCTCCACAGTTGGACTGAATACCTGAGGGACACCCTCTAGATATAGCCAGAGTTCTTTCTGTGCAACTCTCTCTCGTACACTATTCTCTGAACTCTTACTGTATTACTCTTCCTGGATCTCTGCTCCATTTCAACTCCGGAAACTACAGAGCTTTGCCTGGGTTCTCCCTCATGTGCTGCAGCCAGGAAAACTCTCTCAACAAAATAAGCTGGGCCAAGTGTAGGGCTCATTTTACCTGCTTCCTCTCTCAAAGAACCATTGCCTGCTGTAGCCTGATAGCAATTATTAAAAACCGCTATTTCATCCATTTTGGTTGGTTTAAGAAGGGAAGATAAATCTGGAGGCCTTTACACTCTTGGCTGGGAGCAGAAGTGCTGCAATTGAATGCAGTTTCATGTTTGTTATTCTGAACTTTAAAAGCAGAGGAACTGAACATTTCTCATAAAGTATGAACTGTACTTGATCTAAAAATGTTTTTACAGATATACAGATTTTGACAGTTTATTTTTCTTAGGATGGTAGTTTAGTGGCTTTCCTTAGAAAAAGATATCCTACCTCTCATATCTAAAATATTTATGTAATAATTATTCTACATATCTATAAAATGTTTTAAGTTTTCTATAATTAAAGCTCTGCCTAAAAGTAGATTATTTTTAATGAAGTAAAAAGACTGCACAATGGGGCCGGTGGTTTGTTGAAACGGATAAAGATGCTACCTGCTATGCCGGCATCCCATATGGGCTCTGGTTTGTGTTCTGGCTACTCTACTTCTGATCCAGTTCCCTTGCTGATGCCCTGAGAAAGCAATGAAAGAGGGTCCAAGTGCTTGGGACCCTGCCACCCATGTGGGAGACCCAGATGAGCTCCTGGCTTCAGCTTGGCCTAGTGCAGACTGTTGCAGCCATCTTGGGAGTGAAACGGCAGATGGAAGATTTCTCTGTCTCTCCCTCTTTCTTTCAAATAAATAAACAAATCTTATAAAACAAACAAAAGATCTGCACAAGAGAGAAGGAAGGACTCTTAGCCTCAGATAAAAAATCAAGAGGCTGGCATTATGGCATAGTATGTTAAGCCTCCACCCACAGTGCCAGCATCCCACATGGGTGTCAGTTTGTGTCCCAGCTGCTTCTCTTCTGATCCAGCTCTCTGCTAATGGCCTAGGAAAGCAGTAGAAAATGGCCCAAGAGCTTGGGCTCCTGAACCTGTGTGAGAGACCTGGCGAAAGCTCCTGGCTGCTGGCTTCAGATTGGCCCAGCTACAGCTGTTGCAGTCATTTGAGGAGTGAACCAGCAGATGGAAGACCTCTCTCTCTCTCTCTCTCCCTGTCTGTAACTCTGCCTTTCAAATAAATAAATGAATCTTATAAAAAATATATATCTAAAGATTTATCAAAATTAATTCAAGCGCATAGATCACTTTACATGGCTGAATATATAACCATTAAGAGATAATCTAGGTCTGATAATGGTGAAAAATGATAAAGTGTCTTAATTCCCTGAAATCCAGAAAGCTTTATTTTTCTTCTCTCAGGCCCATATCCTGCATAATATTCATAATGGCATTTTTTCCTTGGGTTGGAAAATAAATTTCTAAACTTCTAAACTCAAGAGATGACATGGACAGCAGAATGCAGGAAATCAGTATAAAATTTCAACTGCGGTTCCTCCTCAGTTGTGCTATCCCACTCTCCAGAAACCCACCCTCTTGCGTACGCCCTGAAACTGTCCCTCTTCAAGTCTTGTTACCCTTTCAGGAGGTGCGGTGCTGGCTAACACTGCTGCCTGGTTTAGATACGAAGGAATGGCAGCATCTGACGTCACATGCCTGAAATGAAAGTTTTCCATGTCATCCATCAGTTGGGCATAGCTCTCTATCACTGTTGATTGCTTTGACCTCAAAATGACCCCTGGCTCATCATCCCCATTAGTGGAGGTCTGAGTGGCTTAATAAGCCTAATAAGGGTTTCCAGCCTTTCCTAATCAGACGATGTCAAAATCATGAAAAAGACTGAGGATGGGAAGTCACAACTGGTCGTGATGTCATTCAGGGTCACCTGTCCAAAGAAAACAGCTGTGGCAGTCCGATGGGGACAGCGAAGCAGAAAAGCTGAACTGTTACTGGGTGTAGCCAAGAGCTGTAGGCTGTAGACACAAAAGAGAACGAAATAGGCAAGGCAAGAGATAGAACTCCAAGGAAAAAGTATAAGATTTGCACAAAACTGACATCAGGAAGAAGGGAAACAAGCATCAGATTTGGTTACTGTAAAAACAGATTTTTTATGATGAACTGCTAGAATGGACAGCCATTTTGACCACGAAAATGAATCACCTGAAAGCATTAAAACTGGGTAAGAAATCTGCCCCTCAGGTTCTCCGTCTTGAGATGCTACCCTAGACAAGGCACACACATCTGATGCACCTCCTTTGAAGAATCACAGGCTTACTACCTCGTCCCTGCTGCTGCAGTGTGCTCGTGCTCCTCGAGGGCTAGCTGACGGTTGGTTACAACTTTCAAACAGAAAGGGGTTAGTTTGGTAGCACATTTGGGTAGGGCTTTCTCCTGCTAACATGTCTCCCAAAACACTTGATTGACAGAGAATTTGCTGGCTTAGGAATTCTGCCTTTACCTCTCTAAAAATAGCACCTCAACTGCTAAAGCAAAGCCTCCACCTAAGACCATTCAGGCTGGGCACTCCATTTGTATCAACTGTGCTTCCTGCAGTGGAGCTAAACAGGGACTGGTATCTAACATGAAGTTTAACTTCAGATTTATGTGTACACTAACTGAACTATTTACCCATTTTTAATTGTAAAAAAATTCCATGAAGGACTAGGCCACATTAAATGCAAACTATCCTCAGGGTGATTTTAAAGTAGCAAATATCTTCAATTTCTTTCAAAGCCTTCAATTACACACTCCAATACCATCATATGGTGTCTTTTTTCTGGGGCGATAAGGGTGGGATTCTTTCAAGAATTGAGGACCAAAGTAGTTCTCTCACTGGCTCCTCAGTTTCTTGTGGTTATACCTGTCTCTTTCTTTGTACCCCATTCACCTCTGTACTTCTGAAATGCTTACAATGACACTGTTTAGAGCTTTAACACTAGACTCCTTAATGGAAACATTAAGGTCATCTTTTCCTATTATGTTACACATATAAAATGACAGCATTCAAAACACCAAGTTAACTGGTTTTATTTTCTCCTATACATAGAGAATGGATACCAGGATACCAGGCAATCAGAAAAAAAGTCTCTTTCATTCACACAGTTAAAGACCCTCATGTTGAGGTATAACTCACGTATTTCTTCCACAACTTGTGGGTCACATTCCTTGTATTTCTCCACTTCTGCTTTTAGTTGGTCCCTTTCTTCCCGCAGTGAAGAAAGCTCTTTTGCTATCATGGCTCGTTCTTCCTACATTCCAAATTGTTTCATGTTCAATTCAGACAAACAAAATCCCGTATGTTATGAGGTAATACATTTTATAAACACTTTATTTCTGACACATGCTGTGCATTAGGTTTTTCGATATATACTATATTACATACATATAGTCACAGTGTAAAAACAAGCTCAATTCTTGTCCTTCTCTGAAACCTCACTCATCTTTCACATATATATTAAACAGCTGAGTGGTAATAAAATAAATGAGGTTAAATTATGCTAACTCAAAGATGATGTCATCACATAAGGAAAAATACTATACTACTCTTTATGTAATTTCACAAGATTGTGTCTATATTTAAGTAGTACTTTATAGCAGTATGATTCACTATAAAATTATCTTTAAAAATATTCTAGATAATCATCCTTACAGGTTGAAAAGTTAAGTTTTATAAATATTCTAGCATACCAGAATGAACAGAATTGAAGCCTGAGGTCTCCTGACACTTTAAAAGTAAACCAGAATAAAGCTTTATTCTTTTTTGTAAGGCTTTATTTAATTATTTGAGAGGCAGAGTTACAGAGAGAGAGAGGGAGAGAAAGGTCTTCCATCCACTGGTTCACTCCCCAAATGGCTACAATGGCCAGAGCTGGGCTGATCTGAAGCCAGGAGCCAAGAGCTTCCTCTAGCTCTCCTACTTATGTGCAGGGCCCACGTATTTGGGCCATCTTCCACTGTTTTCCTAGGCCATAGCAGAGAGCTGGATTGGAAGAGGTGCAGCCGGGTCAGGAACCAGTGCCCACATGGGATGCTGGCGGTGCAGGCAGAGCCTTAGCCTACTACCACACAGTGCTGGACCCCCAAAATAAATGTTTTAATTACAATGTAATTCAATAAACACCATTTGAAATTTCTAGCTGTAGATCTAGCAGGTAGTCAAGGTACAATAGGCATTCAAACTCATATTTATGAAAACTCAAAAGTAAATACAAACAAAAAATCAAATGCTAGCAAAGATTATGGTACAGTATTATAAGATAAATCTGAGGCAAAATTGAGTAAAGTTCAAGCTGCCTAAATGAGACTTGTCTAAGGATCTTTGCTATCCTGTAGTTGGTATTTGTACTTTACTACTTTTGTTTTTAGCCGTTTCCTTTGGCTGCAAAATGAGGACAGCTCCTTTGCAGACACTCTGCACAGAGAATGCATCCTCAGAGCAGCATGCTCTGAAGCAGCTCAAGCCAACAAACTCTCTGCGTGGACAGAAATGCTCTAGATCTGCGCTCTTCAAGGCAGGAGTCACTAGCTCACACTGACTCCTCAGTACATGATATGTGGCTACTATGACTGAGAAACTGAATTTAATTGTATCTAATTTTAGTTTAAATAGCCACATATGGTTAGTATATCTCATATTAGACAGCAAAGCTCAGGAGATCTAAAAATAACTCCAGGGGTGGGAGTTGTGGGGCGGCAGCTTCAGTTGCCACTTGACACCTGCATTTTATCACAGGCTGCTGATTCAAGTCCTGGCCACTCCACACTTCTGATCCAGCTTCCTACTAATGTGCCTGGGAAAGCAGAAGATGGCCCAAGAACTTGAGGTCCTGCCATCACATGGGAGACCAGGAGAATTCCTGGCTCCTGACTTTGGACTGGCCCAGTTGTGGATTTGGGGAGCGAACCTGTGGATGTTTAGGTGTCTGTCTCGTTCTTTCTCTCTTTCACATGCTGCCACTCTTTGCTTTTCAAATAAATAATCTTTTAAAAAGACTAGAATACAAGATGATAATTATTTGTCATCCTCATCCATATTACACATGCTCCAGAAGGAAAAATGGGGATGGGGAGGGGGCTGGCTTTTTCCTGCAGTGGGTTAAGCTGCAGCCTGCAAAGTCAGCATCCTATAAGGCTGCTAGCTCATGTCCTAGCTGCTCCACTTCTGATCCAGCTCCCTGTTAATGAGCTTGGCCACTCACATAGGAGACCTGGATGATGCTCTAGGCTTTGCCCTGGCCCAGCTCTGGCCATTGTGGCCATCTGAGGAGTAAACCAGCACATGGAAAATCTCTGTCTCTCTCTCTCTCTCTCTCTCTCTGTAACTCTTCCAAATAAATAAATATATATATATTTTTTTTAATTTTTGACAGGCAGAGTGGACAGTGAGAGAGAGAGTCAGAGAGAAAGGTCTTCCTTTGCCGTTGGTTCACCCTCCAATGGCCGCCGCTGCAGCCGGCACACCGCGCTGATCCGATGGCAGGAGCCAGGAGCCAGGTGCTTTTCCTGGTCTCCCATGGGGTGCAGGGCCCAAGCACCTGGGCCATCCTCCACTGCACTCCCTGGCCATAGCAGAGAGCTGGCCTGGAAGAGGGGCAACCGGGACAGAATCCGGCGCCCCAACCGGGACTAGAACCCGGTGTGCCGGCGCCGCAAGGTGGAGGATTAGCCTATTGAGCCACGGCACCGGCTCTAAATAAATAAATCTTTAAAAAAAAAAAAAAAATGATCGGGGCTGGCACTGTGGTGTAGCGGGTTAAAGCCCTGTCATCCTCACCCATATTATACATGCTTCAAAAGGAAAAACAAGGGCTGGGTGGGTTCTGCTATCACCTGAGAAGCTGGCATCCCATATGAGTACTGGTTTGACTACTGACTACTGGCTGCTCTACTTCTGATCCAGCTCCCTGCTGATACACCTGGAGAAGCAGTGGGAGATGGTCCACATGCGAAACCTAGATGGCGTTGCAGGCTCCTGGCTTCAGCCTGGCCCAGCTATAGCCATTGTAGGTATTTGGAAGTGAAGCAGAGAATGGAAGACCTTTCTCTCTCTCTCTGTAACTATGGCTTTCCGATAAATAATAAATAACTCTTAAAAAAAAAAAAAAACGAAAAAAAGTAGGGAGAATGATGAGACTATTTCAGGCATGGAAAGCCAAGACACTCTGGGGGAAAAAAAAAAAAACCTAAATGAAAGATCTCTGCGAGTGAGATCCCAGTGGAAAGAATGGGTCATCAAAGAAGGAGGTACCTTTCTCTGAAGGGAGGAGAGAACTTCCACTTTGACCATGGCCTTGTCTAAATATGATCAGAGTCAGTGAACTCAGGGGGCAGCTCATGACAAGAGCCTAGGGTGATTACTGAGGCCATAAACAAGAGTGTCAATTGGTTAAGTCAACAACAGGAGTCACTGTGCACTTACTCCTCATGTAGGATCTTTGTCCTTAGTGTGCTGTACATTGAGATTTAATGCTATAACTAGTACTCAAACAGTATTTTTCACTTTATGTTTCTGTGTGGGAGCAAACTGTTGAAATCTTTACTTAATGTATGCTAAACTGATCTTCTGTATATAAAGAGAATCGAAAATGAATCTTGATGTGAATGGAAGGGGAGAGGGAGTGGGAAAGGGGAGGGACGTTATTGGGGGGAAGTCATTGTAATCCATAAGCTGTACTTTGGAAATTTATATTCATTAAATAAAAGTTTAAAAAAAAAGAAAAGAAAAAGTAGGGAGAATGATGAAAACAAGAGAAGCAGAGTGGTGCACATCTGAGTGAACACAATGATGGCTCTCCAGACACTAAACTGGATTTGTCTCAGACGGTCACTAGCGCTGTGATCTTTGCCAAACTATTGAACTTGTCTATGTGTCTAGTTCCTCAAATGTAAAAAGAAGACAGCAATAGAGGAGGCCTTCTTAGACTGTCTGGCAGGGCTCAGTGAATATATGAACTGCATTTCAATAGTACTTTCCTGGCTCTTAGCAAAATAAACATGCTAGCTACTTACTTCTTCACCAAGCAGCATAGATAGCTAGTCCATAGGGGCTTGGTACTTCCAAAAATTCCTGGTAAGCTCAGGAATTGTCTTTCTCAGTAACCTTTCTGAATGACTATACTCTTCTGATAGGTACAGGTACCAACTAGATTTGCTGGTGGAGTTCCCCCCAAATCCTCCAAATTGTACTGGTTCTAATGGACTAACAGTAGACTGGCTGGCAACTTCTGGGCCCTGAGTATGCCACCATAACTGACGATGCTTTTATAAATTATTTCCAGTGTCATTCATAGAAAAAATGAGGATTAATTAAAGAAGTGGTAATCACGACTGCTAATTGAAGAAATAACATAACAGATTCAGGTAATGCCCCAAACTAACCTTGTCTTGAATATTCTTTAAAAATGATCATTCTCCAGTTCCTAGTTTTTTGTTATTTTGTTTTTGACAGAGTTAGACAGTTAGAGAGACAGAGAGAAATGTCGTCCTGCCATTGGTTCACCCCACAAATGGCCGCTACGGCCGGCGTGCTGTGCAGATCCGAAGCCAGGAGCCAGGTGCTTCCTCTTGGTCTTCCATGCGGGTGCAGGGCCCAAGCACTTAGGCCATCCTCCACTGCCTTCCCAGGCCGCAGCAGAGAGCTGGACTGGAAGAGGAGCAACTGGGACTAGAACCCGGGGTGCTGGTGCCACAGGCAGAGGATTAGCCTAGTGAGCCGTGGCGCCAGCCTAGTTCCCAGTTTTGCACACAGTTCACTTAAAAGAATGTATGTCAATCAAGTATGAAAGCATAAAGCTACCATAAATCTGTGATATAATCCTGTCTACATGAGAAAGTTTTCCAGTCCCCTCCTTTCACAGTTAAGTGATACAAACAGAGGCACACATGAAGTGCTTAGTAGTTCATGTTGCTCTTCAATATTTTTTAGTCATATATCCATTCCTGAGATAATGATGACACTAGACAGTAAAGCATCTTTAAAAAGCCTTTAACATAATACTTTAGAGAAACTACTTATGAAGTAGGTCAATATTCATTTAAATAGTTTAAAAATATCACCAGCCTACAAGGATACCACGTTGCTAGTTTTCACTTTGTTCTGCAATGAACTAGAGAAAGTGAAAACCTCTATAAAAAGTGTTGTAAATATCTATGCAGGCCTTGCCATGTACTAGGTCCTCTTAAGTGCTTTGCAAATATTAAGCAGCTTAATCCACACAATAACTCAGTGAGGTAGACTGTATTATCCCCATCTTACAACCAAGAGCAGAGAATGTGGAAGACTCAAACCCGGGCAGTCTGGCTCCAGGACTTGTATTCTATGCTAATATGGCTTTATAAAGCAATAACTGGGTGGGGCTGGCACTGTGGCATAGTGGGTGGGGCCGGCACTGTGGCACAGTGGGTGGGGCTGCCGCCTGCATTGCCAACATCCCATATGGGCGCTGGTTCAAGTCCCAGCTGCTCTACTTCCAATCCGGTTCTCTGCTGTGGCATGAGAAAGCAGTGGAAGATGGTCCAATTCCTTGGGCTCCTGAACTGCTGTGGGAGACCTGGAGGAGGCTCCTGGCCCTTGGCTCCTGGCTTTGGATCAGTGCAGTTCCAGCCATTGCAGCCAACTGGGGAGTGAACCAGCGGATGGAAGACCTCTCTCTCTCTCTGCCTCTTTTCTCTCTGTGTAACTGTGACTTTAAAATAAATGCTTTAAAAAAAAAAAAAAAAAAGGGGGCAAGAACTGCGGTAGTAAGTCTGGTCCACTTTCCGTGGATCCTACCAGGTCAAACATTCACGTTCTTTGTTGTGATCATCTCCTCTTCTGTTAGGAATGGCATCCACCTCACATAGAGTCTGGTGTCCTAACTCTTGTACTTAAAGTGCCATTATCAGAGCCGGCACTATGGCACAGTGGTTTAAAGCCCTGGCCTGCAGCACTGGCATCCCATATGGGCACCAGTTCAAGTCCTAGCTGCTCCATTTCCAATCCAGCTCCCTGATAATGCAGTTGGGAAAGTAGCAGAGGACAGCCCAAGTCCTTGGGCCCCTTCATCCATGTGGGAGACCTGGAAGAAGCTCCTGGCTTCAGATCGGCCCAGCTAAGGCTGTTGCAGCCATTTGGGGAGTGAACCAGTGGATAGAAGACCTGTCCCTACTTCTCTGTGTAACTCTGTCTTTCAAATAAATAAGAATAAATCTTAAAGAAAAATAAAAACTTGCCATTATTAAAGAATTAACAAACACAAACTTACCGTCTCATGTCGGCCAATTTTAGCTTTCTCAATATTTTTCTGTAGGTTTGCATACTTTTGGTTTCCCTCAGACAACTAGAAAATCAAAAACAAATAAATGATTTGATAAGATAAACTTTATTGACACATAGTTTATGAAGATAAAATAAAATATATTTTTGGCTCATGTCAATGTCAAAAATAGTCAAACTACACTGGAACTAAACTCTATTTTGAAAAAAATAAAGGACTAAAGAAACAGTGGGGAAGAGTGAAAAAAGTATAAAAGATGTGTTCTTATTTCCTGAATAAAAATGAGTATTATGCCCTCAGTTTTTTCCACATAGTTTCCAATTAACCAGTTCCCCACCCAAAATAACTTGAGGTCTATCTAGCTAGAAATTGTATTGTACAGGCCGGTGCCGCGGCTCACTAGGCTAATCCTCCGCCTTGCGGCGCCAGCACACCGGGTTCTAGTCCCGGTCGGGGCACCGGATTCTGTCCCGGTTGCCCCTCTTCCAGGCCAGCTCTCTGCTGTGGCCAGGGAGTGCAGTGGAGGATAGCCCAAGTATTTGGGTCCTGTACCCCATGGGAGACCAGGAGAAGTACCTGGCTCCTGCCACTGGCAGCGCGGTGCGCCGGCCGCGGCGGCCATTGGAGGGTGAACCAACGGCAAAGGGAGACCTTTCTCTCTGTCTCTCTCTCTCACTGTCCACTCTGCCTGTCCAAAAAAAAAAAAAAAAAAAAATTGTATTGTACAGAAACAGATGGATAGACCAATGGAACAGAATAGAAACACCAGAAATCAACCCAAACATCTACAGCCAACTTATATTTGATCAAGGATCTAAAACCAATTCCTGGAGCAAGGACAGTCTATTCAATAAGTTGTGCTGGGAAAACTGGATCTCCACGTGCAGAAGCATGAAGCAAGACCCCACCTTACACCTTACACAAAAATCCACTCAGCATGGATTAAAGACCTAAATCTACAACCCGACACCATCAAATTATTAGAGAACATTGGAGAAACCCTGCAAGATATTGGCACCGGCAAAGACTTCCTGGAAAAGACCCTCGAGGCACAGTCAGTCAAAGCCAAAATCAACTATTGGGATTGCATCAAATTGAGAAGTTTCTGTACTGCAAAAGAAACAGATGAGTAAAGAGGCAACCAACAGAATGGGAAAAAATATTTGCAAACTATGCTACAGATAAAGGATTAATAACCAGAATCTACAAAGAGATCAAGAAACTCCACAACAACAAAACTAACAACCCACTTAAGAGATGGGCCAAGGACCTCAATAGACATTTTTCAAAAGAGGAAATCCAAATGGCCAACAGACACATGAAAAAATGTTCAAGGTCACTAGCAATCAGGGAAATGCAAATCAAAACCACAATGAGGTTTCACCTCACCCTGGTGAGAATGGCTCACATTCAGAAATCTACCAACAACAGATGCTGGTGAGGATGAAGGGAAAAAGGGACACTAATCCACTGTTGGTGGGAATGTAAACTGGTAAATCTACTATGGAAGTCAGTCTGGAGATTCCTCAGAAACCTGAATATAACCCTACCATTCAACCCATCCATCCCACTCCTTGGAATTTACCCAAAGGAAATTAAATTGGCAAACAAAAAAGCGGTCTGCACATTAATATTTATTGCATCTCAATTCACAATAGCTAAGACCTGCAATCAACCTAAATGCCCATCAACAGTAGACTGGATAAAGAAATTATGGGATATGTACTCTACAGAATACTATACAGCAGTAAAAAACAATGAAAATCCGGTCATTTGCAACAAAATGGAGGAATCTGGAAAACATCATGCTGAGTGAAATAAGCCAGTCCCAAAGGGACAAATATCATATGTTCTCCCTGATCGGTGACAACTAACTGTGCACCATAAAGGAAACCTGTTGAAGTGAAATGGATACTATGAGAAACGGTGACTTGATCAGTCCTTGCCCTGACTGTTGATGAACAACTTAATACCTTATCCCTCCTAGTATTTTTTTTTTGTTTGCTCTACTTAATACTATTGGTTGAATTCTGTAATTCATACATAGCTATTCTTAAGTGTTGATACTTAACTGAAAAAATGATCCCTGTTAAATATAAGAGTGGGAATAAGAGAGGGAAGAGATGTACAATTTGGGACATGCTCAAGCTGACTTGCCCCAAACGGTAGAGCTAGAAACGTGCCAGGGGATTCCAATTCAATTCCATCAAGGTGGCATGTACCAATGCCATCTCACTAGTCCAAGTGATCAATTTCTGTTCACAATTTATCATAATGATAGGACTAAGAGTCAAAAGGATCACATAAACAAGACTAGTGTCTGAAAACACTAACCTATAGAATAAAAAAGGGAGAGAACGATCCAACATAGGAAGCAGGATACACACCAGATTCATAGAATGGCAGATGTTCTAAACAGCACTCTGGCCTCAGAATCAGCCCTAAAGGCATTCGGATCTGGCTGAAAAGCCCATGAGAGTATTTCAGCCATGGAAAGCCAAGATGCTCTGTCACAAAAAACAAACAAACAAACAAAAAAACAAACAAAACAAAACAAAACAAAAAACCACAAAAAAAAAACAAAAAAGAATCACCTAAATAAAAAAAAGATTTCCACGAGTGAGATCCCAATGGAAAGAACAGGTCATCAAAGAAGGAGGTACCTTTCTCTGAAGGGAGGAGAGAACTTACACTTTGACTATGACCTTGTCTAAATATGATCAGAGTCTGTGAACTCAAAAGGCTTCCATAGGCTTGGCAACTCATGACAAGAGCCTAGGGTGATTACTGGTGCCATAAACAAGAGTGTCAATTGGTTAAGTCAACAACAGGAGTCACTGTGCACTTACTCCTCATGTAGGATCTCTGTCCTTAATGTGCTGTACAGTGTGATTTAATGCTATAACTAGTACTCAAACAGTATTTTTCACTTTGTGTTTCTATGTGGGCACAAACTGTTGAAATCTTTACTTAATATATACTAAACTGATCTTCTGTATACAAAGAGAATTGAAAATGAATCTTGATGTGAATGGAAGGGGAGAGAGAGCGGGAAAGGGGAGGGTTGCGGGTGGGAGGGAAGTTAGGCGGGGGGAAAGCCATTGTAATCCATAAGCTGTACTTTGGAAATTTGTATTCATTAAATAAAAGTTAAAAAAAATTAGTAAAAAAAAAAAAAAAAAGAAAGAAAGAAAAAAAGAAACTGTATTTGAAGGCTGGTGCCGAGGCTCAATAGGCTAATATTCTGCCTTGTGGAGCTGGCACACCAGGTTCTAGTCCCGGTTGGGGCACTGGATTCTGTCCCAGTTTCCCCTCTTCCAGGCCAGCTCTCTGCTGTGGCCCGGGAGTGCAGTGGAGGACGGCCCAAGTGCTTGGGCCCTGCACCCCATGGGAGACCAGGAGAAGCACCTGGCTCCTGCCTTCGGATCAGCAAGGTGCGCCGGCCGCTGCAGCCATTGGAGGGTGAACCAACAGCAAAGGAAGACCTATCTCTCTGTCTCTCTCACTGTCTACTCTGCCTGTCAAAAAAAAAAAAAAAAAAAAAAAGAAAAAAAGAAAAAGAAAAAAGAAATTGTATTTGAAAATTTAAAACTAGTTATGTTTTATTTAAATTACCTCTTCAAATATCATTTGACTTCTGACTAGTCTTTTCAAAATATCCACGACTGTTTCTTATGGCCTTAGAGTATTGTGACTTGTTTTGCTAACAGTCAGTAATCAAAGTATCATTTTATTCCTAAATATCTTATGAGGTATTACATACCTCACATACTAAGTTCTTAGGAAAAAAGTCTGTTAGACTGTCGAGGTATGCATTACATACCTTAAAAACGATCAGAGAGTAGGTATTTAGCTTAGAAAGTAAGATGTCTGCATCCCATCCTGCAGTGCTTGGTTTAATGCCCAGCTCTTGCCAATGCAGGTCCTGGGAGGCAGCAGTGATGGCTCAACTACTGGGTTCCCACCACCCACGTGAGAAACCTTGACTATATTCCTAGTCCCCTACTCTGGACCTGGCCCAGCCTCAGTCACTGCAGGCATTTAAGAAGTGAGACAGAGGAAAGGAGCTCTCATTCTATCTGTCTCTGTGTATCTCTGTCCAACAAATAGACAACTTTTTAAAAAATGATCAGCTTAAGCATTTTACTCAGCTTAGAATGCAGATAAATGAGATGTAGAAATAGATTAATAACAACACAAAAAGAGTATAGATACGGAATACTCATTAGCATGTGGCTAGGCCTACACCTAAACAAGGCCTACCATATCTTCTACATATCTACCATATCTTCTACAACAAACGAGTTAGAAATTTTAGATGCATTTGATTCAGTAATAGCCTTCCTAAAAAATAATCCATATCTTCCTAACAACTGGGTTATAAGCATTTAGAAAATAGCTAACAATTGGGTAAATTTAGTATTTGTTCACTAATTAAAAGAAACCAAAGGTGGGCAGGAGGGACCCAAGTACTTAAACCGTCACCTGCTGCCTCCCAAGGATAGCTGTGCCACTTCAGAAGTTAACTAGCAATGATCCACGGTGTCTGAAATGGGGAAAGAGCTGATTCTGACCATGGAAGATAACAAGAAAAGCAGAGTAACTGCATTCCCAGGGGAGAGATGGAGAGAAATTTGCAGCGGAAATTCTACAGAAAGAAGAGGTGCCATGGAGCAGAATGGGACAGGACAAATACACAAGAGCCAAGTGGGAACACCACCGGTGACTCCCGTAGATGGTGGCTGGAGGAGACAGCATCTTCTTGGAGCAAAGTGAGAGGCGTCTGCGGCAGCCGACACCACTGGTGAGATCACCTGAGATCACTCACACTGACTCTGAGTTTGGTCTGGAGCACTAGCCAGGGGCAGGGTGCCCACCTAACAACATGAAGGGAGAGCACACTGCCTTTTCCCACCCCCCGACAAGGGTACCCACCGACTGGCAGGGAGGAAGTGCCATCTCAATAAGGCCAGCAGAAACTGTTGTGGTACACTTGTGCGCTACAGAGGATTTTATCGGAGGGATAAATCTGTGCCGCCCACTGTCTTTGAGTCTAGCCTGGA